ACTTTTGATAAAGAAATCAGGATTCTGAATACAGTGTGTTTATCTTCCTTCTCCATGTCTTAGGAAACAAGTAGTCGTGTTAAGTGAGGTAGCACCCTGTGCACCGTGGTTGGTAAACATGAGGCCTGAAACCATCTATTCTGTGTGCTCAGTTGTGACTCATCCAGGTGGTCATCAAGATTCCAGGAGGACTTACTGAGCTTGGGGAGCAATATCCTTTCAAATTAGAGAATGCGCCCGGCTGGAGATGCGGCCAGCGCACCGTGCCTGGTTTATACCAGGAGAAAGAAATCCCAGATTAGATCTAGAGTAATTTGTCTGGGGATTGCTGTGAAATTGGTGGTGTTAGAAACTGATGGTAGGAAAGAATATTTCCCGTGGACTCGTCACCTGTGGGATTCAAAGAACCATGATTTATTCAGCCCTTTCTTCGTTTCCATGGATGGATCCTTTCTCCTGGCTGCTGTCCCTCGTCCTTGGTCCGTTGGTCTTTTCTCCCTACTTTTCTTTCATTCTGCTCTTCTACCTACACCCTTCACTTAGCTTTCTGTAGTCTCTTGAGTTTGTATGTAGATCAGCGTACCTGTCCTTTTGTGTGTGTCTTGATGAGCGAATCCAGCAGGCCAAGTAATAATAATAATAACAATAATAATAATAATAATAATAAAGTGAAAAGTAAGATTTAAAAATAAAAACAATCCTCGGTGTGGGGATGGTGGCGGGCAGTTTAAAAGCATCTCTGGGAAAGAAAGCAGCAAGGTTAAGGTAGTCGTCCCCCCTAGTTTCAGATCCAGGAAGGGTATTTGTGTGTGTGCATCAGTAACCAGCACAAGCCCTTTCACACGTGTTAGCTCATTTATATACACAAACTCTCCCTCCCATTTACACACTGAAGTACAAAAAAGGTACCTCTGTATATTTCTTTCATGTATATTCTCATCTAAAGAAACTATCACCCACTGACATCTTTCCCTTCAAAGAGATGTGACTTCTTAATACAAAAAAAAAACCACTTGAATTATATTTTGAAAAGGCAGATAGCCCTAACATGGCAGATGGTAGGGAGTAACAAGGAATTCATTCCATAAGCAAATACCATTTTGTTATTGTAAAACAAATGGATAATAAATTATCCAAATTAATACAAAGTAATACAAAGTCATAGTGAGTAGTGATCAAGTAATAATCATAAATCACGCGTCACTGATTGCAGTAGTGAAAGTGGGGAATCAGAAGGTGGGGTTGGAATCTCTGGCCATCCAACCTTAGATGAAATGCTTCACCTCACTGAGGCTTAGCTGTTTGTCTCTTTAGACAGGAAAATCATCTTACCTGTCCTGCTTATCTCAGTGGGAGATTAGCAAGATCCCACATTTGAAGAGCTTTGTCAGTTACAAGTCACAGTGTTCATTTGAGCTGTTAATATAAGGCGGCTGGTAAACATGAAAGCCTAGAGGCCTGTGTGTATGTTTTGGGGCGGGGTGGTGAGTAACCGACTGGCTAGGTGGTAGGTGACAGACCTATGCCACGGAAGTCAGATGCCAGTGCTTATCAATTTGGGGAAAGGAAGGCAATTGAATAATCCTCTTGATATTTTGAATAGGAAAAATCTGAATACTGGCTGTTCGTCATTTTTATGCTGCTGCAATTAACAGAGTTAGATCAGAAGAAGATTAAAGTGGAAGAAAAGGTATGTACTCATATCACGTCATATGTTTACGCGTTAATAGGCTGAAAATCGTATGCCACCTCCTTCAGGGCCAATATACTCCATCAGTGAGCCCCATAATTAATTTAAAACATGTGAATCAATTATTTAGGGAGGGTTCCCTTGTCCCAGGATCTGGCTAACTACCCTGCAAAGCAAGCATCAGCACTTCAAATGCAGCGGAAGCCCTGCTACCGTTGGATGCAGTGAGAAGAGAGGGACTGGTCATTTGGATAACTGTCACGTTGGGCGGGGGCGGGGTTCTTCCTGTGTGACTCTAAACATTTTTTTAAAAGTAAAATGCATTATTATGTCATTCTCTCATCTACTCAAATGGTACCCAAATGAACCAGTAAACACCCACCTTCTCAATCCTTCATTCTGTTCTTGAAGATAATGAGTCATCTGAACACGCAGCTCCGGAGTAGCCAGACCCCGAATGCTAGCACGTGCCTCCCCACCACCATACCTGGGTGCTTTGTCTTGCTTTGGTGACTGGTGACAGCTGAAATCTCCACAAACGGGGATTTGTTACACTGGACACAAATTTGAGATGGGACTGAAACCAGGCGTAAATATGCAGAGAGGCAGATATTCTGTTTCATAAATGCCTTTCTGAAATCTGGGTTAAAAATAGTTACAGATGCGAATCTGTTATTATTCTCACACTCAGAGGCACTTAATAGATTTTTCTTCCCCTGTAACATTTTGCAAAGGGAATAAAATTTAAGACCATGTATTAAATAAAGGTGTGGTAGACAATGTACTTAGATGACAAAAACAAGGAGTAATGTGTGTTATGAAGAAAAGGCCTGTATCTGTGAACAGAGACAGTTACGTTAGAAGAGGAGGAGGTTTGGGCAGAATTTGAGGTAATCAGATTAGTTCTTGATGAGATGGCATGAGAAGAAAATGCTGTAGTATCACCTACCTGGGATCCTTTTTACACTAAAAGTTGCAATGTTTAGTCTATTAGAAGTAATCTTGGACTTTAGAGGTTTTGTTTTTGTTTTTGCTTTTCCCTTCCCAAACCAGGAAACATAATGAAGTAAGAGGCCAACGGACACAAGCTCAATTATAAAATAATTGTCATTATGTAGGTTTTAGGAGAGGCAGAGTAGACACGAGGACAGAACACAAAGGTTCATGAGCATGCATAAAATTATTTTTTCCACCTGGTTATGTGTCTAGAATGTTTCATTAAAGAAAATCTAAGTCTTCTTTCTAGAAATGAAATCTATTTTGCTCTTGCATTTCTAATTCTGGAATAGGTTGCCGCAGTGAATAGATACAACCCTCCCCCGGAAGTGGTCGCAGCTGAAGATCACATGACCCATGTCGTCAATAGCCTGATGCAGCCACAGAGGATCTTTGACAGGTATTCATTCTCTAGGGATCAACAGGGTAGAACTGAGAGGGACGGGCACAGGATAATGTCATCGCTTCCCCCAGCCCTCTGTTTTGTGACCTGTTTCTTTCTCACCTCCTCTGACAGAAGGGGACCAGGTCTTTCTTTGATAGGTTCTGTGGTTTCAGTTACAGCGTCTTATCATCACAGGCTTGACTATGGGCTCTTCTAGGTGTTTTCCCAAAGTGTAGTGATGAGTGGATTCACCCCCCTCTTTCATCTGGCCCCTGAGTGGTGGCTAGCTCATGACATTGGACAGTGAAATAATAATGAAAAGAAAAGTTTGTCAGTTGATCTGCCGTAGGACAGAACCACACAGTTGTGATCATTTCTATCCCTTGTAAATTTTTTCTTCGCTCTGAGCGAATGCTCAATACCCCTGCCGAAGCGCATCCCATCAATGCAGATTATTAGAGGCTCCCTCGAAGGAAGCCCAGCCAGCCCGAGGGAGGCCTGAAAGGGTCTGTTTAGTGATTGCACTGAGCTGCCATCGGCTCTGCAGGGAGGAGTCGCTCGGTTTGGTTGAACACATGACTCGTCTCTCACCTCCAAGTTCAAAGACAGATTTACCACGGCTTCTCGTTTTCTTTCTAAACAATCTGTCGGAACAGATGGCCATTTCTGCTGTAAGTATAATGCAGAAATCCTACCCATACCCAAAGGCGTTTTAAAAATACTTGTAAGATCTCCAGGTTATAAATGGCTTCTCTTCTTCATGGGATGTTTGCTCCTGTGCTTCCACATGGTTGGTTTCCCACAGAGAGCAAATGGTTTATTTTGCATCTAGGACACGATTTTTTTTATGTGTAATTTAATAATATAGACATTGGCAATTTAATGTATTTATGGAAGCCCTCCAGGTGAAATGATTTATCATTTATTTGCATACATCTGGAAAAGCATATTTGGTTTTGGGGAAAAAAGGGCATTTATGTCCTCGTTGTATTTCTTTTCTAGTTTATGAAGCTTGCTTGTTGTTGCATGCCTTAGGGTACATTTATATAACAGTATGTATCAAAGATATTTACGGCAGTGTCTGATAAACACATATCTTGCGGTCATTCCTGGCTGTTGAGCAGATACGAGCAAATGGCCAAGCAGCGCGGATGCTCCCAGACGGAGCAGTTCCCACTGGGAGAGACTCCCCGAGGCGGGTGCGAGGGTCAGGGCACAGCTCTCGGACAGCCCCCAAAGAGGAACCCTGACTCTTGACCTTGGGACTTCGATGCTGCATTTTGGGGGAAGGACTGTCCCCTCTCCTGCTGTGATCGGGGAGAGGATACAGTATTAAAATGCCATAGCAGGAACTTGACCCTGGCCTGGTGCTCAATGATAGCTTCTTGCTGTCTGGTGTGACAAGGCCCCCCAGGCTCGTCTTGTCGAAATCCTGTCCCAATTCTGAAATCAGCCATTTCTCCAAGAAGCCCTGGTTTGATCTAGTGAGAAGGGTGTGTCCCAGCCACAGTGTGGATGCTGGGGATAATCATCGCTCTGGGTTGGTCATGTTTGTAAGCCTTTTAGTGGACAGAGCTAAGAATATAACTGTTTCCTCCCTCCCTCCCTCCCTTCCTTCCTTCCTTCCTTCCATTCTATCCTATTTGTACCTATCTACCTACACCTATCCAATCTGTTTGTACCTAACTAATCCAAATCTAGATAGATCTATCTGTATCCATCTATATAGAAATGATAAAATACCTCCTAAATTCATATTTATACCTGCGATTCAATTTCAAGACTACAGTTGAGCTTTTCCTGAACCTCCTTTCTCTTACATCCTATCTCCTTTTCTCCAACACCAAGGACACAGACGACAGAATTAGGATATCCCATAATTACTTTTTGGGTTTTTTTGTTTGTTTGGTTTTTTTAGCTGAGCCATCCTGCCACCTGTTGGCAGCTCAGCGGCAGCTCGGCTCAGGCTGTGAATCAAACCGCTGTTGCTCAGAGCTCACACTCTTGAGCGAGCTCTTAACCAACTGAGCCACTCGGCCGGCCCCATAATTACTTTTTTTAAAACCCCACATCACAGCACAGCAGTATCAGAATACCAGTGCTAATGCTACCACCAATATGTTTACTGAGAACATTGAAAGCATATTTTGCCTATGCTCTCCCATTACCACCCCTTCATTTTCTTATTACAATAAAATATATATAACATAAAATTGGCCATTCTAACCATTTTAAAGTGTACTGTTCAGTGGCATTAATTACAGTCACCATGTTGTGCAGCCATCACCACCATCTCTGTCCACAACTTTCTCATAATCCCAGACAGAAACGCTTCACAATACCTCCCCATCCGCTCCTACTTCCTGCTAGTCCCTGGTAACTTCTAATCTACTTTCTGTCTCTATGAATTTGCCCACTGTATATATTTTATATAAGTGTCGATCACCCCCTTTTAAAAACAGTGTCCTATATTTATATTGTCAGAGCATATGTCCATCACATGCTCCATGTTCTCCTTAGCTGTCATTTAGCCTTGGTTCTATGGATAACTGCATATTTATAGCTCGCTTCCAGCCCTTCTATTGATGTCTCTTGAGTCATTTTGGTTGTAAGAAGCTTGTTCTCTAGTAGATTCCTCAGCAAGGTCTGTGGGGTCAGTATCCCCTGAACTCTTGCATGTCGATAATCTTCTCTGCCCTTTATAGTCACAGTCATTTTTCCTATAAAATATAAAGTCCATGGCTCACAGCTCTTTCTTTGAATGTATTAAAGATGCTACTCCATTTACTTTTGGTGCAAAACATTGTTGTCAAAAATCTGATGACAGTTTGTTGTTCTTTCCCTTGTACTTGTAAATCATGCGTTCTCTTTTTCCATCTGAACATTTTTTTCTTTTTCTTTAAAGCCCAGTAATTTTACTAAACTGTGTCTTGGTATTAGTCATTCTGGGCTAGTATTCTCAGGCATGTTGTGTGCTGTTTCACAATGTGTAGTCTTGTTTGTGTCTTTTTTTTTATTTCAGGAAAGTTTTCTTAAATTACAGCCTTTGTGTTGGTTGTCTTCTTCATGGAGAAGATCTCCTTTGCCTGTCTTCAATATTTGTCACTTTTTCTCAAATTTTTCTTCTCTTTAATCGTTAAAAAAGTATTGGGTTGTCGGAAAAGTCATGACATATTTTTTTCTGTGTTTTTTGTTGCAATAATGTGTCATGACTTTACCGACAACCCAATATTTTGAGATAATCCACACAGTTGTGAGAAATAATACAGAGAAAATCTGTATATCTTTCACAGTTCTCCCCTAATGGTAATATCTTGCATAGTGATAGTAAAGTATCAAAACCAGGAAAGTGACATTGATATAACCCACCAACCTTATCAGATCTCACCAGGTTTGGATGTACTCGTGTGTGCATTTAGTTCTATGCGATTCTATCACATGTGTAGGTTCATGTACGCAGCACTATAGTCAAGATACAGAAGACTTTTGTCACAAGGACCCCTGTGCCTCCCGGCTATAGCCGTAGCCACCTCCCTCCTTCTCATCTTCCCTAACCTCTGGCAACCAATAATCTCCCTATCTGTATAATCTTATAATTTCAAGAATGTTATATAAATGGAATCGACTAGCATATAGCCTTTGGGATTGGCACTTGTTATTTTTCACTGAGCCTTATTCCCTGGAGATATATCCAAGTTGTGGGGTGCATCACTATTTCATCCCCTTATACTGTTGAGTAGTATTCTGTGGTTTGGATGCACCACAGTTAGTTTAGCCATTCATCTGAGCTGATTCCAGTTTTTGGCTGTTACAACAACAGCTGCTGTGACCGTGCACGTGCACGTTTTTGTAGGTGTACAATGTCAACCTGCCTGCTTTCCAGCAGACACCACTGGCTGTGGGAGGGGTTCCCTGGTTCTCAGGTCTGTCAGATGATACTCCATGGGTTCCTACTGCACAGATTCCAGCACTCTGAAGGTTTTGTGGGTTTGTGGTTCGTGGAGCTCCCTTTCCATCTGGTTTGTTACACGTGCTTTTCATGAGCCTTTGCTCTTAAGTTTTTCTGTGGGTGTTTGGAGAGATTGGAACTTTATGCTGCCACCACCCCCATTCTCCGTCGAATCCACACCTCAGTCATGTATTCTTTTTAAATATTATATTTTATTCTATGATCCGTGTCATGAGTGGAATTCACCACTTCAGCTCAGCATGTTGCAGGAGCTTTTAGTACTAAATTCGTTCTTTAGTCCAGCCTTTTAGGCCCGAAAGCTCTGCCTCGCTTCCTGTGTCAGCTCTTATTTATTCACTGCTACTTTGAGCAAGAGAATGAGCCTCTCTGTACTTCAGTCTTTGTGTGTTAAGTGGGGATAATGATGGCAACATCTCCATTAGCTTCCTGTGATGATTAAATAAGGTAGCGCATGTAAGACTCCTCAAACAGTGCCTGACACATAGTAACTGCTCAGGTAAATTTTAGTGACTACCATTTTCTTTGCGTATCGGTGTTGTAATTCAACAGGTATGGATGTTAAAGTTTAACTCACAGAGGGCCGTCTTACTTCTTTCATTTCGAAGTTCTTAAGAGAGTCCTTTATCAACCAAGAATTAATTATATGTTACCATATGTTTCTGTTTAAAAACATTGTTAAAGTACATTTATATATATTTGGAGTTTACATGTTATCTGTGCTTTGAATATTATTTTTTGGCCTTGGGCAGTAATCCCCCTGCTTCTAGAAAAGAAAACCAGCCTTTTATGCAGCATGTACATATAGCAAGTGCTCGACTACTGAATTAATTGAATTAATAGTGACCCAGACACTTGCCACATGGGATGCAGTTAGCACGCTGCAAATCTGATGGAAACAGGCCCCTCACTGTCTCTGCCCTGTGTTACAGCACTCTTCCCAGCCTGGACGCCCCTTACCCCATGTTGGTGTTAGCGGGTCCTCAAGCCTGTGGCAAACGTGAACTCGCCCACCGCCTCTGCAGGCAGTTCAGCACTTACTTCAGATACGGGTAAGTCTGATAATTGGCTGGTAAGACTATATACAATTGGATATGACCAACGTCAGCTATTAATTTTAAGCAAGTTCAAAAATGTGCCTAGACGGCTTATCAGCTTCTTTACCATTTATTGCATTGTGATAGACACTATTTTTTTTCCCTCTTTAATCCTCCAAATGTTTAACTCTAATTCAGCAACAGCCGAAGTGTCTCTTCAAGCTTTGGAGATACATGTGTTTTTAATTAAGAACAGTGGCGCCGGAACACAGTGTGACAGTAGGAAGGACAGTGTTGTGATGTGTGGTGGGCAGATCTGGGAACCGCTGACATACATAGAGCCTCTCCTGGAACTCATGTTGACAGCGCTTCAGCCTCTTTATCTCCACACCGTCTTCCTCTTCTGACACACATATCAGGAAGAGGGAAAGAGAAAAGGCAGCAAAAGCCTTTCCTTCCCCTCATGGTAGCATTCAATACACTTAGTTTTCTGGAGCAAATGTTTTGCTCCGTGGTTCCCTATTGACCCAGTTAAAATATCCAAAACACTAGAACCGTCCAAAAGAAACCTTCAGCTGGACTTACAGATGTTTGAAGACATTTCTGAGCATCAGATTAAGCATGATCACTCGGGTCTTTTAAACTGGCTTTCTCTTTTATTTCTTTCTGTATGGCAAAGAAATTACTTTTAGATTAGTGGTGTTCATCAGTGAGCTGAGGATGTGACTGCAAAGATATATCGGACAGCAAGAAAAATAAATGCAAATTATTTTCTGATGCTAATATAGCAAAGTTTCTTCCCTTAAGCGACACGTATTCAAACAATGTAAATACTCTTTCAAACAGGTCCATTTATTTAGATATCTAAAATTACATCCCTCATTTGAACAACCCTAGGACACAAATACTACACAATAATTTATTCGTTAATATATTTTAAGCACCCTGGAGTAACAAAAATAAATTAAAACTTGATATTAGAATGAAAAAGTAGAGAGTGCCACTATGCTCATCTAGGGGAACTGAACCTGTTTTAAAAGATAAGTGGAACGCAAAGAATGGGAGGTCAAACTTGGGCAAAAGGGTGTATCCTGACGGTTGTGCTAATATGTAAACCTGGAAACTTTCAGCAAACCCAAGTGGGGGTAGGGACAGTGTCAGCTTTGCTCACCATTCAGCCCTCAGTGCTCAGCACATGGCCCGGCACTTAGTCCACGTGTGATAAATATTTATTAAATGAATGACTAACTGAGCGAGTGGGTAGATGAATGAGTCAGTGGCACTGTATGCAACATTTAGTGGGAAATGACTGCGGTGAAAAGCATAGCTGGTTTTCACGCCTCCACTGATGGACATGTGGAGAGAGAGAAGGAAGGATCCATTCATTTGTTCCTCCATTCTTTCGATAAACATTTATTGAGTTCCTCCCATGTGCTCGGCCCTGAAGATAGAGTGGGAACAAGACTGGTGCGGCCCTTGCCTTTAAAGAAATTTGTGACCTAGTGGGGAACTCAGACCTTAAATAGTGGGTGTCATGTGCAATTTGTGTGGAGGCGCAAGCTGGCAAAACAAACATCCTGAAGCATCTTCACGCTTCTCTACTGTTACTGCTGCGGCCGCCATTTTTCTCCTCTGGATGGAATTAGTGGCAAGTTGAGAGACACTCGCAACTGCCCACGGCCAACTACACACTCACTTACCCGCCTCCCTCAGAGATTCAGAGCACCAGCCAATCGTCCACTGGCATCAGCAAAGGCGCAGAGAGCAGGGCTTGTTCAATGGCAGATCACTCTAAGAGCTCCATCAAGGCATGCATCAAAGACCATGTCCTTGGGTAAAACAGGGTATTAGATGGCTCGTAATCTCATCCATTGAGAAAAGAAGATAGTTACTGCTATTATATGCCACAACTTTCTAATTAAAATCAATAAGAAAACCAAAGCATACCCTCAGGGGCAGGCCATGGCTCTTCTTTAGATTTTCTTTTAATTTTGTTCTCTACTTGACATAAATTTTATTGATTTTTAATTAAATGAAAAGGGGCGCAGATACAATCTCATCGTGGAGCACAAGCATTTACGAAGGCACTTTCTCTGTCATTTGCTTGAATCTTTTTCTTTCCCTCCTATTTACTTCCTTCTCTCTGGGTATTTTGTCTTCCTTTTTAAATTGCACTGACACAAGACCAAGACCGTCGATGAAATTTCCACATGCTAAGCGGCATATCCAGACATATAAACATTAAAAACATAAGCGAGGAGTATAATGCATGTGGGTGTGGCTGAGAGATTGTGGTTTGATTTTATTATTTGTTCTTGGTTTTCCAAGTAGGTTGGATGGTCTTTCTTTACATGGATCCTTAGTGGCCAGGAAATATGGATTTACTGCCTTCCAGGTCTCTGTTACGTCCAATAATAATTATATTAACCACACAAATTAGGGGCTTCCTGGAAGAGTGCTAGAATCATGAGGGAAACACAAAACAATACCTACTTATCTTCCAGATTTAAGGCCGTTTAAGCGATCTGAATGGTCATGAAAGAAAACTTTATATTTCTCCCTTAGATCTCTATTTTATAGCACTCTATTCTCAGAACCTTTTTCATGATGCTGACTACTAAACACATTTTCCTTTTAACACTGTAAGACAGCAAAGTAGAAGACCACAGCTCTTTAGCTAAATGAGATGGTGTTCATTTAGACTCTACCTAAATGCAGTCTAATGCAATATGTCCGTTGATACAGATGTGATAGACCAGTACAAGGGTTCATGTAGCCATTCAGTCAGTGTGTATTGAGTGCCATCCATATGCCACGTGCCGGTGATAAAAACTGTAAAGCAAAGAGACATGGGGCTGGACCCCTGGCAGCTTATAGTCTGGTACGGGATTTAGACAGGTTACATGCTGCCTAACAAGATACCAGTGTGATGGGTGCTGTGATGAGGGAAGTCAAGCTCCTCCCTGACAGAAGTAAAAGAGGGGTGGGAGGTGGGGCTGGGGAGGGATGGGCAGTGCATTTCAGACAGAAAGAACAGGCAATTTGATTAACTGGAAATACACTCTACAGCAGTTCTCAACCTTTCACAGGGGTCGCCTAAGACCGTCGGAAAACACTATTTTCGATGGTCTTAGGAAACAAGATACCACTCCTCTATCCGTCTCCAGGCCCACATGCAGATACGCCCACATACGAGTACCCGGCGACCCCCGTGAAAGGGTCGTTCCACCCCCAAAGGGGTCGCGACCCACAGGTTGAGAACCGCTGCTCTACAGCTTGACCTATGAATGGAGATGGCAGAAGATAAGACTGAAATGATAGCCATGGGCCGGATCCTAAAGGGCCTCTAAGAAGGAGGGTGTTGAGTACCAGAAAGAGTGTCAGCTGCATTTTAGGAAGTGCGTCCTGTGGGCAGGTTGGGAGGGGGCTTGGGGAGGGAAGGCTGGAGACGAGGAGACCAGTTAGGAAACAGTGACAGGTGGTGATGGTATGAGTTAGAAAGTGGTGCGTAGTTATTGCACAGTGGACAGAGTAGTGGCTTCCTGGAATTTGGTGCTCAGACACACTAAGTGCTAGAATCTTCTGTGTTGATGATTTCTTAAGTTGCGTCCAGCAGTTTATTGACATATAATTTGCACTGAGCATTAGGACCAATTTAAACTGCCTCCCGAATACCCTGGGAATACCTGGGCTTTTGTGGATGCCCCTTGAAAGGGTTCGCTTACTAACAATATGGCGTGCTATAATCTGCTTGAATGTAGATGCGCTTGCAGCCAAGCCTCTGCCTAAATATTTTCAGTAACAAGAAGTGTATTATTTCCTGAGGCAATCTGGCGCAGACTTGAGATTCTAAATCTGCACGCTTCTGAATCGCACTGAAAAAAATGGCTACTTCCTCATCCACCTGCCAGCTCTTCTTAGGTTATCTTTTTCTTCCGATTGCATTTCCTTGGGTGTTTGAACAGTCTGCTATTTGGCCTGGCCTCCTGGGTCCCTTTCCTTCCTGATCATCTCCTCCTCTCTGTGGACTTGGTCTGTTAGGATCCTCTCTGACAGATGGCCCATGAATTCCCCTTTAGAATGTCTAACTCACCCTTAGACCTTTTGGACCAATGTGGTAGCCTGGGGTTAATCTCCAACTCAGTGCCTTTGTCTGTTAGGCGAAACTAATGGGGAGTAGGGCTCCCATTATAAGCCATGATTTAACTAATGTACCATGATTGAACTAGTAAATGAACTAGTAAGTGATCAACTCATGGAAATTTAAATTATAAATGAAATTACATTTACAGGCAAGAGGGAGGCTGTTGAAGGTGATAGCCAAAGCACATTTCTTTGTGCTTTGTTCTTTCTAAAATTTGGCAGCATTTTTTTCCTAAGTAAGTTTAGTGAAACACTGCCTTTACTATGAAGTATTTCCTTTTTAAGATGTTCATCTTCGGGCAGCATACTTCACAGTGGGTGTTTCTGTCTGTGAAAATTGGATGACAGATTCAAAAAACCTCAGGTCATCTGAGGTCCTTCTTAATAGAGAGAGCTCCACAGCGGATGCAGCTTCTGTCATCAGCATTCTCCACATCGGTGAAGCCATCTCTTTGTTTCTCTGCCTAGAAGCTTCAAATTGCTTCTTTGCTCTGTCTTCCTTTTAGAAATTCTGAAACAATTCCTGCCGCTCAGTGTCTTTGTTGGGAAATGCAAATTTAGCGCAGTGCATAAAGGCCACACGAAGGGGCCGCTGCCGAGTCACTGATTGATCATTCCTGATTGTCAGGGACACCGGTAGGCAGAGGGCCCCAGGTCCCTGCCAGGTGTGGGAAGAAATGCCAGTGTGTTCAAACAGCAAAACAGACGTCATGACAATTTGACAGTCTTCTCTCAGCGTGTCTTCTGCTTCCTGAACATGCAATTTAAATGTGACATTGAGACCTCAGAATTTACTCGTATAGTTAATGCTTGGTCATCATGGAAGCTGAACAGTGGGGTGAATTATGGAAACTGTGTTTGTCTTTGTCATGGAGGGGCTTTTGAGGTTGCAACTCTGCCCTGTTTGGGGTCACCCTGACCTTGCTCCGCAGTCATGTTAACTTCATTGCTATGCCTCAGTTTCATTGTCTGTCAAATGAAAACAGTAACACCCACCTCGTGTAGTTTTGAGGAATAAATGAAATAGCATGTCAAGTGTGGACCCATTTCCTATTTTAAAACTAAACATAAATTTACATTCCCAGACTGTAACATTGAGAAGTCAGAATGCTGTGTCGCCAAGAGGCCGGGGCTAGCTGGGACCGCCGTGGTTTAGCTCGGGGCTGCTCTGTGGCCTCGGACCAGTCATTTTTATAGTCCCCTCTGGAATGGAGGTCATCGCAGCTGGTGACCACTTCACATGTTTCATGTCTTCATTCACGTTACAAATGTTTAGCAAGTGCCTACTATGCACCAGGCGCTAGGAATGCAGTGGGTAACAAGATGAAGAAGATAAAGTGCTTCCCTCGTGATTTACAGGTCCTGCTGGGGAGACAGGAAAAAACCAGAGACAGACACAAGAAGGTGGTTTTGGTGAGAGAGTAATTGCGGGTGTGGGGGTGGGAGTGGAGTGGCCATTTCGGACCGTGGTCAGAAAAGGCCTCTCTGGTGCAGCTTAGAATCCCACGCAGCACTGGACTCGTGGATTCCCGGGGGAGGTCCAACCCCACTCCTGGTAAGTGCTGACAGCTCCACAGAAAGAGCTCATGTCTGCCCTCAGGCAGCGGAGGAGATGGGGTCCTGAACAAGTAACTGGGGTGCACATGGCGACAGCACTGAGGTGATGGCAGTGTAAAGAAAAGGTGCAGAATCCAGCAATAGGGGGTCAAGAAAGGCGCTTTTGTGTGTGTGTGTGTGGGGGGAGGGGTGACACTCAAACCGAGTCCTGAGGACAAGGGGGCTCGCTAGGTGGAGGGACAAGGAGAGCTGCAGGAAATGGCCGCAGGTCAGAGAGAACACGAACACACGTGGGTGGAAAATACATGAGGAATAAATATTGTTCTACTTCCTAAAGGATTACATGATGGCCGAGGAGGTGGTTCAAAGGCCATAAATAACAATGAGTAAGAATTCGGTGTTGATAATCCGAACCTTTTGTCATCCATAGAGAGTATCGCAGCTGAATGCAGTCTCGCCTTTTAAAACCACCGGGGGCCTCACAAGTATATTATTTTATCGTTTTTATGGTTCAGGGATCAATTTCAGTTTTTTAAAGTATGCTTTATACTGAACTCATTTCCATTTTGAATTTCAAGTTACTAGATACAGACTAGGTTCTCTCTTCTATGTTTTCAGGGCCTGTCACACCACGAGACCCCCTTACTTTGGAGAAGGGGACCGAGTTGATTATCATTTTATCTCTCAAGAAGTTTTTGATGAAATGCTAAACATGGTAAGAACGGTCTCCTTTATTTTTACTGCACACGAAATGCATGTCCCCTGGTAGAAATATTAGGAGATAGTGATAAAAAAGAGAACAGTTTCATTTAGTTTGTTATAGGGATGCTTTCCTACTGGGTTGGTTTTTTTTTCTTAATCCACTTAATACGTTACTGTTCACATGCTGCTTTATTTTCTGATCTTGGAGAAAAATACTGTAAATTTCCAATAAGACTGAATGAGTAGATATTTTAGGAAAGTAGAAGTAAAAGGACCGTGAAAAATCCTTGTGACCTGTGTGTATCAGGTGCTGCTGTTATTAATCAGATTTTACTCACAGTAGACGGTTGCCATGGACCTGACGTGATGCACGAAGCTTGCAGATGGAACATTCTAGGAGTTGGTGTGCTCTGTCCGGAGACCACCCCTTCTGCTTGCTATCAGTGGTGCTTTCTAATAAGTTGCGACCCTAAGTACCATTTCATCATAGTGTGGCCCATTCAGGGGCCTGCCCTGGACACACAGACAGCCTTAACCGTCCGCTGTTGCATCCCCGTTTGACAAGTCCTGAGACTTGGAGGCCGGGCAGCTCACTGATGCCGCTGGAAGGCCTTGCTGTTAGGCTGGAGAGGGTTCCCAATTTCTCTGAGGTCTGTGTCTTCGCATAGTGAGGCTAACTCTCCTGCATTAGCCTGTTTCATCGGAGTCCTGGGCGGTCTTACGCAATTTAAGACATTTTTCCTGAAACCCTGATCATCTAGTCGGTAGTAATTCATGGCACCCTTGTCTCGGAGTTCACGTTCTTAAAGAGAATTTATTTGTTCTTTCTTGGCCTTCACCTACCAAGGGAACCCTCACAACCCCGGTTTGTTTCATCTACATATCCCCCCATGACTTCAGTTTCACTGAAAGCATATCTCGTGTCTTCATCACTACCAATGAATCTGTAAGCCTTTGATTTTCTTTTCACCATGGGCCTAATTTGGTTTGTATTAGCATTCTTTCTATCACGAAGTGAATTCTACACCACTCCCCCTCCCCGACACAAGCCTACCAAAGGACCAGATGAAGGATTAGTCTATACCCCAGCTTTGGAAAGAATACCCAACCAGCGGTGCTCTTAGAGTTACACGACCCCTCTCTCTCTCCCCTCCTCCTTTCCCCTTTCTCTGCTCCCCACCCCCAAATCCTGAACCCGGTCTGTACCTCAGTGCGCATAACCATGGAACATTTAAGCACACACTCCACAGTTTCTACAAGTTGAAGTATCCATGACCAACTTTACGCAATGTGCATGTTTTCTTACATTTACAGAGAAGCCCCAGCGAGAAAGCCTTATAATCCCTGGGCCATTTCCCCTCTCACCTTGTCAGAAGCACATCTTGGAAATTCTTTACCAGCTTCTCTCCTAGGGCTGTGTTTTGACAGTTCCGTTTAACGTATGAAGAGCGCTCTGGGACTTCATATTCCTGAACGCTTTTATGGGGATGTGAGGAGTTAGCTTGTTATTAGTAAGGAGCATTATCTAAGGGCGCTTTGGGTTGAAAGACAACCAGTTCCCAAAATTCAAGTTCATTTCTCTTGTTAGAGTCTGAGGCGTTTTTTTCTTGGTTCAGTGCATCTGTTCTCAGCACCCATATGCTCCTCTGATGTTCCGTACCTCATCATATCTGGAACCGAGTAAGTCTGGTTCAATTCCTCAGCGAAGAAATCACTGTACTTCCATACTATATTTAGTCTTCTAGTTTTATTCCCCCTACTAAAACCCTCCTGTGCTGGAGAAGTACTGCTAACCTATATTACTTCAGGATAATGTCATTTCCTCCCACTTGAATGTTGCTTCTGATCTTCTTCTTTTTTCTTTAAAGTGAGCTTGAGACTGTTTTATGAAGAGAGACAAACCTGGAGATTATAAACTCA